GGTTCGAAAGAAAATTAAAAAACTTTGTATCACAAGGAGAATCACAGCTACGCCGTTATACGCATCCATTCTGTCGTCTTCAGTCGCCATCAGTGTAGAGGAGAGGCCATAAAGAATGCAAAACAATCTTTTGTTCACCGTCTACGCGAGTGCATTGCAGCTCGTGGACACCATTTTGAACATCGCTACAATTAAGATTCGTAAATTTTGACTTGTCAACAACATTGGTTGCGTAATAACGGCGTAGCTGTGATTCTCCTTGTGATAAGGAGTATTTAGTTTTTTAATTTTCTTTCGAACCAGATGAAAAAAATGTCATGTCCTTACATGTGCCGGATTCGTCTTGAAACCCTCTAACAGACCGGCGTAAAAAAATTATATGTTCAGTTGCAAAAAATTCAAGGTAACCTTGAAAAAACCTTAAAAAACGAGTTGACCAGTAATTTTTCACTATCACGTTAAAGCTCTCTTGAAACCATGCAAAAGCTGATAAAAACATTTTCGATCGGACTGCTAATAACAAAGTAATCTCTACTGTTCACGCTCCGTGGTCCACCCTGTATGTATTGGTAAAAGTTTTCAACTAGCAATAATCGCACCTCGGTTCACCACCAAAAATCGTTAGAATACAAGAGTTCGCTAGACTTTGTCAGCGTACATGATATCCCGCCAGAAGGGGACCAGGAAACAAAGGGGTGGTTTTTGTAAGGCATTCAACCGAACGTTATTGAAACGATTAAGTTTTTCAATTGATAGATAAAAAGAGCTTTATAATAATTGGAAAGGCAAATTCAAGCAACATAGTGCCGTTTTAATGAGAAATTGGTTGCACCTGCATAGGAGTGGTTCAACTATTAGAGGTTTCTTTGAAAAACGCAAAGACATATAATCCCCTACTTTTTTTAGACCTTTCAAATGCAATTGATTTCATTTAAATCCGATCGATAGTTTTTTTTAATTAAAGTTTTGCAACTTTCGACCCCCATAAATTACAAAAATGTTCAGCACACTGCTTCAAAGTATTGATTTCAGAATGCGGGGCTGGCGAAAATATCAATTTTTACATTTTTTTTAAAATTGTACCGACTGTGAATTACTGCACAAGTTAGCACAGAGGTAGCACAATTTTCAAAAACGTTAAATTCGAAAAATGCTCTGCTAACTTCACACAGGTACATTTTTGGTTACATGCGTGTGTGGCAGACACCTCCCTTTCATGCGACGGCAAATGAGAAGGATGAATAAATGCAACTGTAATAATTAAATTCTATCTCACAGAAGTATAGCGAATTTGATGACCCTCAAAAACCACGTTAAATTTCAATATTAAAAGTTTTCTTAATTTTTCATTATTTTGTCAAAATAATGATAGATATTATTTGGTAGAACTCGAAGAGCACTACAGTAGATGCTCAATACTGACAATTAGTCGGGACCTCAATGGTGAAAATCGAGGAGGCGCACGGTCCAGTCCCTTGTAAACTGTGCAGCCTCTCTCTTGCACTCGACAGGGTCGTGACAAGCAGTACGAGCTGTTGCACCCCTACAATGCGTGACGCCCGTACCAAGAACATTAAGCCTTAGACGCTCCTGAAGCAAATCCCCTACCACGAACAAAAGAGTTGCCGACCGCTAAGCTTGAAATGGAACGTGGCGAGAATTAATGTAGCCCGAATTGAGAAACCACTGTGGTTGGAACTGACAGAATTATGGCCGGAACTCGTCTGCGTATTGTTCAAACTCGCAAGTAAAAATTTATTTTCGTAGATAATCAATATTTCGAGATTGGGCGACTCAATCTTGGGCAAATGGCAGAACTCGACAAATTATGGCCGGAACTCGTCCAGGTATACATGGAACGGTTATATAAGGTACCAAATGTTTTCTTCATATTTTTAAATACTACTGCTCACACGTCGCTGGCCAATTCTAATATATACATTTTCTACCCTTCACCTTTTCTGTTATTTGATTATATTTATGAGATACTTGTATATCGTCTTTCGTGTAAAAATTTGCTGCAAGCCAAGTCTATTGGAATTCAGGATACTGTTGGTTAGCTGTGATTGGGTTTGAAAATAAAAGATAAATGTATTATTTAATGATAGATACAATAAATGCTTCTTTTCGAGTTCACTCTTAATTTCTTTCTTACACAATTTACGTTAACCTTATTAGCCTAGACAAGCACTACGTAACAAGAGGATGACTCTAAAGTCCAATCGATACCAGGACCGCGCTTCCACTAGTGTACGTGCAGAACTCAACTGTTTTGTTCTTTAGACTAATGTCGCATTTTTTATCTCAAAGGAACGAATATCCATAAGAAAGAACTTGCAACAAGTCATTTCCATGATATTTTAACTTCCTTCTCCAAAAAAACTAATTCCGGAGATTAAAAAGAGGAAATTCATTCCTTAACATGACTTCTTGGCATGAGATTTATTCGTCTATTAATTTCTTATTGCATGAGAAATATAGATTAGTTTATATTTTGAATATCTTTTCAAATTAATATTTTAAATTAATAATTAGAAACCTTGAATACACCACATTGTAGAAAAGTCTTATATGATGTCCTACCTTCCGGCCAGTTCTCGAACACATGTTGTGCTATGTCTCCCGCCGAATCACTTGGGCTGAATAGGAACTCTTTTGTCTTACCGCTGACAAGAATCAAGCGTAGATTTATCTGAAAGGAAATAGTAAAAAATATTTTTAAATGAGCTATCTTTTTTATTATAATATCGCACATGAAATCCGGCCAAGTATTATCCACGATATTTATTTTTTAAATATCGGAACCAACTGTTATATACTGATGTGATAGCCACGACAACATTATTTTGGCGAATGTGGAACTTTCAAACAGGAGATGCTGGATATCTGAAAACATAAATCTTCCATCTATAGCAGAATCTTAATCCTTCCGCAATTTAATCGAAACATTTTTCCAATCAAACGGCTATTTCGCGATTAGGCTACAATTTGTAGGATATCGAGTTCCAGATTAAAATGACATTTACAGGACTTCCGGTTTCGATAGAACGCATATACAGAGTTCAAAATATTCTGTATTCTGCATGAAAGCGCGTATTCTTATGGGAAATATTGTGGATGAACCAATAAACCTGCAGAGTTCAAATTTACAAGAAAGATTAAGTTCCGCATGTAGATAAAACGGCGCAAATATTCAAAAACTTAGTATTACATGTTCTTTGTATTCACAAAATAATTTTTTGTTTGTACAAAAAATCCTTTCTCAGCAGCTATTCAAGTAACTCTAAGCGAAACCAAAATAGTCGTCTTGAAAATCGAAATTGTCCGATCCACGCGAAACTTAATTCTTAGAGATTGTCAGTGTCACTGATTCCGAAATTGAAGTCGCATTTTCTTTATGAGTTTTTTAAACTACAACATGTATTTGTCTATTAGCTCCCAACTCAGCGTTGACGTTGCGCGGCTTTCAAAAGGATGCCGAACAATCAGTGCCAGTTACTGCTCCATTAATAACCCTAACTCATCATACGTGGTCCGGTGAACCGGGGAAATTACTACTTTTTCACCTGTTCTTCGTGACACATTTTTTAAATCAATGTTATAACTGTTAAACACATTATTCTCGCTATTGGATTGTAGTTTATTTTTTTTTAGAGTCTGGTGTTCTGATTTCACTATAATTTAACCCAAAAATACGCATTTATGCAAAATGATACGAAAAATTAGAAAAAAAAAAAAAAAAAAAACATTACACTCAGAGAAATCGGGATAGTTTTGATAACTATTAAGTGACAGCAATATAATAATGGTATAACCAACTGTTTTTATAATTACTTCAACTTTTTTCTTTGTTAACGTGACTACCTTCGATTGGTTGCAATAATTATTTGAGATCAAATTTATTTCTCGCCTTTCTTCAACTAATTTAAGTTTGTTCGAACAGCTATCGCCTTTTGATACCACACTTAGAGAAAAAGATGGTTGAGACAACTATAAATTTGTAGTTAAATACCACATCAACTTTATTTTTTATGTTACTTATAGTCAGTGCAACTGCAGACGATTTTTATTAGAACAAAATTCATTGTTGCGAGAACTGCTTGTATGAACTTATTAGTACCGGGAACTATGAAGCCTGTTTCATGTGACTAGCATGGCAGTATTATCATCTATATACGACTTAACTGTCAAAAACATCGTACATGTAACTATAATCATATTTTTAAACGTGCTGAAAGTAATGGGTATTGCAATACCCATAGTCACATGAAACAGGCCTCGTAGTTCCCGATACTAATAAGTTCATACAAGCAGTTTTCGCAACTATGAATTTTGTTATAATAACAATCGTCTGCAGTTGCACTGACCATTTATAATTAGTATAAGTAACTAAAAAAATAAAATTGAGGTGGCATTTAACTACAAATTTATAGTTGCCTCAACCATTTTTTTCTCTGTCTGTAGTGACGACAAAAAATATATAAATGATAAGAAAACATATCTGTTAATTCAAAAATACAAGAAGTAAGAAATACCTAAAAACAAAAAATACAAAAATCAAAAAAATACGAAAAGGAAAGAAAATGCACTTTAAAATCCAAATTTCAAGCTTCCCGCGGTAAAGTACGTAATTAGGTAATTATGTACTGAAGTTAATGGCATAATAGTAACAAAGTCTATCAATCATAATTATTTTTTATTACAATTCCTTTCGACGAACGTTTGTTCCTCTATTTTTCTCTATTCCATTTTTCTCGAAAAATAATAGTTTTATAATAAAAACGCATATGACATAAAAGATGTAATTTTTTACAAGCTACAATTTTTACTTAAAACTTTTTTCTCTAAAATCAATATTTATCGAAACAAAGATGAAAAGTTTTTTTTTTTTCTTGAAAAATGGTCATTTTTTAAAATTATTTTTGCGGGTATTTTTACTATTATTTTCGTCATCAGCACGTCAATATACGTTAGAATACAAAAAACCATACTTTTCGGCGGTATGTAGTTTTCGAAACTACAACCTCGAAAAGTACTTTGAGCCTACCTGAGTCTGTGCGCAAATAAAAATAATATTAACTCTCGGAGGACCAACATTTTTTATTTTTTATTACACAGTATATCAAGATGAGTCAAATTTGAGCCCAATAGATAATTTCAGTTTTTTGCTTGTTTACTCTCGTTTTACTTATGCATGGAAGGGCTTACGGACTAATTCTAATATCTTCATGAAAATCTTTCGCTATCTGAAAATAGTATTTTTAACGTAGAAAAGAACTCGTCAGGACCTTCCGACTGTTTGGCAATTTTAATAGAAAGTCCGAAACACCGCAGTTTAGCATTGCGTGTTAACCTTCTGAGGATTAAGCGTCCTGGAATGAAACGGCGTGAACGAGGCGTCCGGTCGGCAAATTACGTCATATCGCGTGTTAGGGTTGGTGCCACGTGTCAGTGTAAGTATCCACGTGTGATACGCACTACATGATATGCAGTGTCGTAGTAAATAAATAAATACGATGAGGTTTATACACTTTCTCGTGCGGTCGAGAGTCGTTTTCTCTGAGCAATACTGCGCTGTACTACTGTACAGTCAACCGCATTAATGGTGACAACGGTAGACGCCGTACGGTGAGGTAAGAGAGGAGGTTGGGTGGTACCTGCTCGCGTATCTTTGCCTGTGTGTGCAACGCAGAAAGCGCTACGGTGCGAGCGAGACGCCAGAGCGTTGCTCGGTGCGTCGTTGTTACACAGCACGAGTGTAAGCGAGACGCCAACAAGGCCCCTCATGCGCAATAGGGAGCTTGGTGGGGGACTGCTCGTGTTCGGGCGCACGCTCTTGCTCTCTCTCTCTCTCAGACTAATGCTCTATGACGAGGACAGCTAGTACTCGATAAGGAACGAGAAGTCGCTGCGCGACTCTCAACAGTGCGAATGAGATAGACTTTTTAATTACCCATCCTCGTCACACACAGCGTTAGTGCGAAAAAGAGAGATAGTGGTGCGACCAAGCGTCATTAATGGCGTCCAGCTTGTCGACGCAGTGCGGTGAGGTAAGAGATAAGAGTGGGCGGTGACTGTCGACGGTGCGAGCGAGATGCCAAACAGTCCGTACTACGGTGCGCCCTTTTCAGCAAGAGTGTACGCGAGACGGCAATACCATCCCTGAGTTGCACCTAGGAGCTTGGTGGGATATCTACTTCTCTGCTCGCCATAAACAGTATGTCCGGACACCTGTTCTTTTTTCTTTCTTGCATTAACTCTAGCTACCCTGGGCTAAAGTAATAGGTCAGCATTCGTGCTGATTCCATATCTTTTTAAATATAAATAATGCAAAAACTGTTTAAGAAGAAAAAATGTAATTAAACACTTTCTGGTAGACAATTAAATTGTTTATAAAAAAAAATTTGATCCTCGAAATTTTTTTTAAAGATGGCGTCTTCGGCGATATGACAACTGTCTGCTAACCAAGGGTTCGGTGTAAGTACGTTGAGGTTACGTTCGTGGTGTGCAGGCAGAAGGGCGTAAGTTTTATGGCTTTCATATAAGATTACACTCTTTTGGAACGCACTAGAGAAACAGGAGATGTCTACGATTACCGTACGTGTTTCCTACGTTTATGAAATAATTGTTGGTCCTGAAAAGGACCAGTAAGCGAATCTCGCAAAGTATTGCGCACCATAAATTCCAGAATTAATAGCTAGTCCAGTAACCGCCTCCGTCGTTTACCTGATTCAATCTATTAGGAATCGAACCGACCAAATTTTCCAAAAACAAAGGATTGTGCCGAAGCTCTTCCCAGATGCTTTTGGCATATGGCTGACTATGGACGCTCTCGTCCTTTCCCTATCGGGCAACCATCTTCTAGTCTTCTCGGCCCAAACATTTTCAATGATTTTTAGGTTGGGTGACTTTGCAGGCGATTTGCAACTGAATTTCGGGGTGCGCCGAAAACCAATCACGTGTTTTGCCTGTGGTACGACACGCGGCGTTATCCTGAACCAAGCGAATTGTTGGCATGGTTCCTGGAAGATATATCGCGCGCACATTCGGAAGTAGTACTTCCTCAAGTACGTGAATATACTCCGCAGAGTCCATACGTGGAGTAATCTCCAGTAATTTGCCGATAACGTTAACGCTGATCCAACCCCACACTAGACACTATATGTATACGTCCGCTGCGATCATGCGGAACAACGTATTTCGGGTCCAGCCAGTTATCGGTTGGTCGCCATACGTGAAGACGATGGTCAACAGAGGACACGAAGACTTTTTCGTCTGTCCATATCGACGTTTCCCACGGTTCACGATGCGTCAGTAACTCCTGCAACGCGAACGCGACGCGCTCTTCTCTATGTTGGGGAAGCAACGAAAATTTGCGGGCTGGACGATAACAGTGATAGCCAGCTTCTCGTAATTGGCGACGGGCGTTTACTACGGACACAAGTTACGGTTTGCGGAAATTCCGGACATCGATAAAATGGCGATTTTCTGCCTTAGATGTCTTCCGCGGTTTCCGATTTCTCACACGGGGATCGTGCAAGGCATGATTTCCGCCTCGACGGTATATATCAATCCACCACAGCACAGATTTTTCACTGCACTGGACAGATTAAACAATATCGGCGATGGGGACACCAGCTTGATACAAACCGATTATTCGTCCACGCTTCTCAACACACAATTGCGGTGCCA